TGTCTCAGGCGAGGGCGCCGGTTTGGGATTCGTCACCGGATCCAGCGGATCCAGCGGATCCGTCCGGAAACGGTGCCGGAGGCCGCTCTGTGCTCCTCTGGGCATCCCCCCCGGGGCCCGGTTTGTGAGGATGTCTCAGGCGAGGGCGCCGGTTTGGGATTCGTCACCGGATCCAGCGGATCCAGCGGATCCAGCGGATCCGTCCGGAAACGGTGCCGGAGGCCGCTCTGGGCTCCTCTGGGCATCCCCCCCCGGGCCCGTTTTGTGAGGATGTCTCAGGCGAGGGCGCTGGTTTGGGATTCGTCACCGGATCCAGCGGATCCAGCGGATCCAGCGGATCCGTCCGGAAACGGTGCCGGAGGCCGCTCTGGGCTCGTGCTCTTCGCGCCGGGGGTGAGGATGACGTGAGATGACGTGAGTTCCACAGAAACTCCCTCAAACTAACGGAGTTCCCCACGTAAAGAGATTAACGGTTTCGTGGGACTCATTTTCTTGATACCCTCCTCGCTCAGGCGGGGCCTCCCTGGAGGGGTGGGAGGGGCACGAAACCATGTAAATAGTATGGTATTCCGATACCCTCCTCGCTCAGGCGGGGCCTCCCTGGAGGGGTGGGAGGGGCACGAAACCATGTAATAGTATGGTATTCCGATGCCCTCCTCGCTCAGGCGGGGGCCCCTCACCTGAGGGGTGGGATGGGCACGAAACCAATGTGTAAAAATAGTATGGTATGCCGATACCCTCCTCGCTCAGGCGGGGCCTCCCTGGAGGGGTGGGGGGGGCACGAAACCATGTAACTAGTATGGTTTGCCGATACCCTCCTCGCCCAGGCGGGGCCTCCCTGGAGGGGTGGGAGGGGCACGAAACCATGTAAATAGTATGGTTTGCCGATGCCCTCCTCGCTCAGGCGGGGCCTCCCTGGAGGGGTGGGAGGGGCACGAAACCATGTAAATAGTAGGGTATTCCGATACCCTCCTCGCTCAGGCGGGGCCTCCCTGGAGGGGTGGGAGGGGCACGAAACCATGTAAATAGTATGGTATTCCGATACCCTCCTCGCTCAGGCGGGGCCTCCCTGGAGGGGTGGGAGGGGCACGAAACCATGTAAATAGTATGGTATTCCGATACCCTCCTCGCGCAGGCGGGGCCTCCCTGGAGGGGTGGAGGGCAACGAACCATGTAAATAGTAAATGGTATTCCGAATAACCCTCCCCCTCCCCGGGGGGGCCCCGGCTCAGGCGGGGCCTCCCTGGAGGGGTGGGAGGGGCACGAAACCATGTAAATAGTATGGTATTCCGATGCCCTCCTCGCGCAGGCGGGGCCTCCCTGGAGGGGTGGGAGGGGCACGAAACCATGTAAATAGTATGGTATTCCGATACCCTCCTCGCTCAGGCGTGGCCTCCCTGGAGGGGTGTGAGGGGCACGAAACCATGTAAATAGTATGGAATTCCGACACCCTCCTCGCTCAGGCGGGGCCTCCCTGGAGGGGTGGGAGGGGCACGAAACCATGTAAATAGTATGGTATTCCGATACCCTCCTCGCTCAGGCGGGGCCTCCCTGGAGGGGTTGGAGGGGCACGAAACCATGTAAATAGTATGGTATTCCGATACCCTCCTCGCTCAGGCGGGGCCTCCTTGGAGGGGTGGGAGGGGCACGAAACCATATAAATAGTATGGTATTCCGATACCCTCCTCGCTCAGGCGGGGCCTCCCTGGAGGGGTGGGAGGGGCACGAAACCATGTAAATAGTATGGGATTCCGATACCCTCCTCGCTCAGGCGGGGCCTCCCTGGAGGGGTGGGAGGGGCACGAAACCATGTAAATAGTATGGTATTCCGATACCCTCCTCGCTCAGGCGGGGCCTCCCTGGAGGGGTGGGAGGGGCACGAAACCATGCAAATATTATGGTATTCCGATACCCTCCTCGCTCAGGCGGGGCCTCCCTGGAGGGGTGGGAGGGGCACGAAACCATGTAAATAGCATGGTATTCCGATACCCTCCTCGCTCAGGCGGGGCCTCCCTGGAGGGGTGGGAGGGGCACGAAACCATGTAAATAGTATGGTATTCCGATACCCTCCTCGCTCAGGCGGGGCCTCCCTGGAGGGGTGGGAGGGGCACGAAACCATGTAAATAGTATGGTATTCCGATACCCTCCTCGCTCAGGCGGGGCCTCCCTGGAGGGGTGGGAGGGGCACGAAACCATGTAAATAGTATGGTATTCCGATACCCTCCTCGCTCTCGGTATGGAGTGGTATGGAATGGTATGGTAGGTATGGTATGGTACGGTATGGTATGATATGGTATGGTATGGTACTGGAGGTATGGTATGGTATGGTACGGTGTGGCATTGGTGTGATATGGTATGGTATGCTATGGTACGCCATGGTATGGTATGGTACGGTATGGTACGTATGGTGTGGTATGGTATGGTATGGTATGGTATGGTATGTGTGGTAGGAACTATGGTATGGTATGGTGTGTGTGGTAGGAATAATATTGTGCTGTATGGAAGATGGAGCGGGAGGTGGGTGGGAAGGAGAGGGTGTTCTGGGAAAACAAGAACCCCACTCAGGATGTGGGGAAAAAATGAGGAGGAGGAGGAGGAGGAGGACCACGGAGGGAGGGAGGAGGAGGAACATGGAGGGAGGGAGGAGGAGGAACATGGAGGGAGGGAGGGAGAGAGGGTGGGAGGAGGAGGAGGAGGAGGAGGAGGAGGATGAGGAGGAGCAGGAGGAGGAGGAGGAGTAACATCGAGGGAGGGAGGGCCTTCGCCTGACGGTGCTTCAGAGTCCTCTGCCGGCTCACGCTGCCTGGACGCACTCTGCGGTACACCGAGGCAGGCGGCTCGCACCGGGAAGGGTCCTCCATCGGAAGCCCTTGCCCCTTCTCCTCCTCGTCCCCTTCGTCATCCCGTCCTCCTCCATCTTCGTCCCTTCCCCTCCCATACGGACAAAGATGGAGGAGGACGGGATAACGAAGAAGGGAGATATATACACGAACGAGGACGGGATGCGAATGTAACTAGTGTGTATATAGATACGCGTACAAGCATACGGACATGCGTACGTAAGTACCTGCCTACCCACCGACCTGCCTACCAACCTACCTGCCTGCATGCATGCACACATGCATGCATACATACAAACATACAGACATACAGACACACAGACACACATTTGTATACCTACCGACCTACCTACCTACCTACCTACCTACCTACATACATACGTACATGCATACATACATATACACATGCATGCCGTGAAGGGAGAGGTTCGGCACGCCTCCCCGTTACCGCCCCGGCCGGGGCTCCTTTCCGCGCGCTCGCTGCCCAACGGCTGCGCCCCGAGCAGTTCGGCACTGGAACTCTTCGGGGGCGTTCACTCCCTCTCCCGCCCCCTCCCTCCGTACCTGTCCTCCTCCTCCCCACCGCGCGCGCCGGAGCACGGAGGGACGCGAGGCGACGGAGACGGAGATGGCGGCGGCGACTGCCCGCTCGGCACCCTCGCTGCCCTCGGCCTGCGGGAGGTCCCCCCATCGGCCTCCAGGGCCTCTCTGGACCCAGCCTCGGAACTTGCGATGGGCCTCCGCTGCCGAGTGCAGTCAGGACGCTGTCGGAGCTGCCCCGGAGCTCCGCGCGGGTTGCTCGGATCGGCGCTGGGCCCTCCTGCATGGCGGCGCCTCCGGCGCCCCTCCCCCGGCACGCGCTCCGCGCGCCAGGGAGGGGAGGGGGGAGGGGGGGGGCAGGCGCCGACCCAAGAGCGTCCGTGTGGATCTCCGACGGTGTCTGTCTGCGCAACTGCCTCCTTGCCTGCCGGAGTTTGTGCTTCCCGAGCCTCGAGCTGCCTCGGAGCGAGGTCGGGTTCTGCAACTTCGCAAAGCGTGGGGGCCTGGCGTACATACCTTGTGAATGCCGTCGTTGGCGTCGACGAGCGTCTGGGAGTCGATGAGGTCGGCCGATTGAGCGTCGGCTAACTACAGTCAAAAACCCGCATAAGGACGCGCGACTTTGCTCAGGGTACCCTTGCGTCCTTGCTCTTCCTTGCTCTTGCGTCCTTGAGGTTTTCGTCGTCCGCAGCCCCAACAAAAACCCAACTTTGGCTTCCAAGGGTCTTGCGTCCTTACCGCGCGCCCTTATTAGGGTTTTAACTGTAATGCAGCAGGCGGGTCTTGAGTGGAGCGGGTCCTGGAGGTCTGTCGCCGTCTCCCGGGCTCCATGGGGGCCGTGCCCGCGCCCCGGGAGCAGCAGCTTTGGCATCGCTCGCGCGTGTTTTTTTTTTTTTTTTTTTTTGTTTTTTTTTCTCTGCGAGGGCCATCGAGGAGCATCCTGGATCCTCGAGCAAAAGCAAAAGACGCACGCGCGAAAACGAAGCACGAACCGGAAATGCACGCGCACCGCTTGGGCCCGAGGATGACCCTCAGGAGAGGCTCAGGAGGAGGTGCATCGACCCCCAAACGACCATTGGTCACCGATGCGGGGCTGATAGCCACTCCTGCCCAGGAACTTGCGGATGGGCTATCGGGGGCTCATCGGCGATGCATCGCCCCCCCTGCCCCCCCCGAGCCAGTCCCCCCCTGAAGCTGCTCCTCCAGAGCGGGGTGGAGCGGACTACCTGTGAGAGAGGGAAATCTTGCCGATCCTACTCATGCGAGCGTGGTTTGCGATCAGCACGAACTCTCGAGCAGCGTCGAAGCACACTCCGCGGGCTCGCCAGCGAGGCTGCGGCACGAAGCCCCTGCAAACATGCGAGCGGGCTTCCTGGAACCCGACGGGGTCCAGAGCGCGACTGGCCCGGAGATCGGGGGGCTGGCTCTGTGAAGCAATACGATATCCAGGGGGGGAGGTGGAGGCAATTCACACTAAGGCGTGTGGACAGGGAAAGGACAGAGACACGAAACGGCAGCGCCCAGACGGCGCACCGGCAGACGATTCGGCAACTCGTAACGTGTGCATTGAAACGGCGCGCGGGGGTACGCAGAGCACAAGCTGCCGAGTGCCTCGGAGAGGTCGTCGTGTGCTCTGTGTCAACGACGTGCGTCGTTGACAGAGACATCAGGGACGTCCGCCAAGCCCTCCACTGCTCGGCCTGCCCGGTCGAGCTCGCCGCTGCGGGCCCAGGCGGCGAGCGCCAGGGGCGGCGGGTTGGGCACCCCCGGGCCGAAGGCTTCGCGCCCGCCCGCGGCGCAGATGCCGCCCGGGGCCCGCCGGCCGCTCGGCTCGCCCGCGGGCTGGTTCGCCGTCGGCATCCTGTGGGCGACCGCGCGGAGCCTCGGCGGCGCGCAGAGGGTCCTCCTCCTCTTCCTCTTCGTCGTCCTCCTCCTCCTCCTCCTGCTTTCTCTCTTCCTCCTCCTCTCTTCCTCCTCCTCTCTTCCTCCTCCTCCTCCTCCTCCTCCTCCTCCTCCTCCTCCTCCTCCTCCTCCTCCTCCTCCTCCTCTTCTTCCTCCTCCTCCCCCGCCTCCTCCTCCCCCCTCCCCTCCTCTCCTCCTCCTCCTCCCTCCTTCTCCTCCTCCTCCTCCTCCTCCTCCTCCTCCTCCTCCTCCTCCTCCTCCTCCTCCCAAGTCCCATCTTGGCTCAACGCGCCCTGCGGCGCCTTGAGTCAGCCCCGAGCTTTCGCGAGGCGGACTTGGGACCCGCTGACGCCAGCCGCCACGGGCGCAGGCGACGGCGGTGACTGATTCGGGGCGAATCTGGAGCTGGGGGGGCTGCCCGATGGCGTGTCGGCCCACCACCTCGCGGGAGGCGGACATCGCTGCCTACGGGGCGACCGCCGCGCGTCGCTTGGCGCGGAGGCGGAGGCGCGATTCCTGCGAGGCAGTCCTTCGTCGCCTACGCGCAGCACGTCCGTGCCAGGTGGCGGCGGATGTGCAGCCCGCGCGAGCGGGCCCCGTGGTCGAACCGTTAATGGCTGCCCCGCAGGTGGAGCAGGTGGACGTGCTCCTCGCCGCCCTCAGCGTCGAGCGGGAAGCCGAGGACTGCGTGCTTCCCTCCGCTCCCGGCGGAGGTGCCGTGCAGATGCGCCGCGGTGCCCTGGATTTCGTGCCGCGCGCCCGCTTGCAGGCGACTGCCGCCGAGGCGTTCCGCGCTGCAGTGCGACGGCGCGCGGGGGCCAGGGCTGAGGACGCCGAGGCGGCCCGCGACGACGATCACCACGACCACCACGAGCTGTACTCCTCCGACTCCGACGTCGACACTGTCGACGCGGCGGCGCTGGTCCGCGCTCTGGAGGAGCAGCTCAAGGAGGTTGAGGCGGAGGCCGCGCGGGTCGACGTCGCGCTGGTCGCGACGGATCGTGGCGCACACGATCCAGGCGAAGACCGCGAGGGAGACCAGACCACCACGCGACGGGTCCACTCCGGCCCCGCGAAGTGGTGCTTCCCCGAGGCCGTCTCCGCCGTCCTCGGCGACGACAGCATCGACAAGTCGCCGCAGGATGCCGTCCTCAGCGAGCCCCGCGGCCCGAACAGACTGGCCCGCCCCTGGCCCGAGCCCGAGGCGCCTCTCGGCGTCCGTGCTGATACCAACGGCGGAGCCGAGACGGCCGTGGACGCGGGCGCCTTGTTCCGAGGTGGTCGCCCCGCCACGTCCGCGATGGTTGCTGCCGCCCCGCCCCCGCCCACCCCCAGCGACGGCGAGGCGGAGGCGTGCCGTCAGATGTGACGGAGTGCGTGGAGAGCCCGCTGCCGCCAGCGTGATCGCTGAGAGCTCCTAACGGGGAGCAGGGTGAGTACGCCTCTTCGGAGGGGCAGTACCCCACCTCCCCCACCCTTCGGGAGAGCGCCTGGGGGCGGCTGGGGCGCGTGGGGCGCCGCCAGCAGTGTGTTTTCGTCCCCGTGCACGTCGGCCAGATCGTGTACGGCTTCCTTGTCGCCTCCTCGCTGAAGGAGCCGATTCGTCCCCGCCTGACTCGCGGGGGCGGCTGGGGGGGCGGTCGCTTGATCGTGTTTTTTTTTGGTTTGCCCCACTCCAGTCCTCCTCCCCTCCCCCTCCTCCCTCCCCTCCCCCCCTTCCTCCTCCTCCTCCTCCTCCTCCTCCTTCCTCCTCCTCCTCCTCCTCCTCCTCCTCCTCCTCCTCCTCCTCCTCCTCCCTCCTCCTCCCCTCCTCCTCCTCCTCCTCCTCCTCCTCCTCCTCCTCCCGCGCGGGCTCCCGCCCGTGCGCGCGTGGGGGTGCACGACGCCCGTCGACGACGACGACGTCGACGACGACGCGGACAGCCTGTCGCGTTCCTGGCCCGGTTTTTTGATGGTTGCCGGGCAGTTTCGTGGGTTCCTGTAGGTTTTCTTGCTTGGGCTCTCCAGCAGCTGCGCCTCGCCGAAAGCGTGCCGGAGTTCCCGAGTCGTCCCGAGCGGCCGCCAGAGGCACGAGCTATGGCCCGAAAGCCAGGCCACCCTCGCGTCGTGAAGAAACCACGACGGAGGGCGTTCGCTCGTTTTCGGCCCCGGCTGCTCTGGCCCAGCCCTGGAACCGTCAGGAATCATCTCAGGATGAACAGACAGTCCCGGTGAAGGCGTCCAGACCTCTTGGGGGCCACGCTGTGAAAATGTCACGGCACCGGATGTCTGGGCCAGGGGGCAGAGAGAGTCCAGGCCCCTCCCCCAGAGGGGGCCAGAGCAGACGGGGTCGGAGGCTCGATGTGGAGCCCGACGTTCTCCAGGCCGACGGCGCCGGTGCATCGGCGATGCGGCGCGATCCTCCGACCCCACATGCTCAGACTCCACTTGGGGGGCCTGGGCGTGTTTTGTCGCAGTGGTGTTGGCCTCCGGGAGAGGCCCCCCGTCGCCGCAGTTGGGTTCCCCTGCCGGAGTTCTGGCCGGAGCGCGCCCGTGGAGATGTCCGTGGGGGCGGCGAGGAGGAGGAGGAGGAGGAGGAGGAGGAGCCAGGCCCAGGCCCCTCGCGTCGTGAACAAAAAGCACGACGGGTGGTTTGCCAGCTACCGGTTCCTGGAGGCCCTTGACTACAGTGGAAGCCCATGCCAAGAAACACCCTGCTTGCCTCCAGGGTGCCTTGGGCTTTTCAGGTTTTGAGGGTTTCGATGTGGAAAGCGGGACGCCCCCACACCAAAGATCAATAGACATCCTGGGGTCTCAGGGTTGGGCTTCTTGTGGAGGGTTTGCTTGTGGTGGAGCTACTACTGTAAGACTGTCAGTGGTCCCTGTGACCGTCAAGAGATAAGTCCGGGAAGGACATTTGCATCGTCCCTGCTGGAAAGGGGTGTCAAGACCATTCGGGGCCAACGCGTCGAACAGCATCGCGACGCCGGTTTCCTGCGGTTCTGAATTCGATGATTCGTGTTTTGTTACGGTGCGCTGTTCTTTGAACAGCTTCTCTGTAAGGGTCCCACACAATGGTTCTTCTGAGGCCAGCGGGTGTTTTTCCGGATCCCGAATCCGCGGTCTCTGATCGTGGTATTTGGTTGTGTCTCGTTTTCGTTGGCATGGTTCGTGGTCTCTGGTCTCCAGTCGTTGTCTCTGGTCGTGGCCTGTGGTTCTCCAGTAGCATGCTACGATCATACTTCCGTGCAGCATTTCATTATATAGTACGGTCTGGCTTTTGAGGCAACGCCATCACATCCACCCGCCCAACCCTGAATTTGTGGAGTCCAAAACCTGGGCAGCGGAGCGCCAGAGAGGCCTTCCAACATCTCTCGGAGGAGCTCTGGAAACTCTTGGAAGAAGCTTCCGAAGGAGAATCTGGCAGGCTTGACGGCACACGTATTGGGAAACTGTTAGAAAGGGCCTTCCGCGACTAGTTGCGAATTCAAGCAATTTGTTGCGACGCTTCTTGCTGGAAGCCGAAGCGAGCGCTGGGGCTACCCTGCGGTGCCGGCTTCCAATCTGAAGCCCTCCGAACCCTTCGAGGAGCTACCCGGGAAAGAAAGCCTTTCAACTTCAGGCCAGTGCTGCGCGGTCAGAGACGAAGCTCTGTTCAAAAGACCATGTTTGCCAGCGTGGACACCAAGCATCCAGTGATGGCACTGCGGGTGTGCAGGCCACGGGGTGCACGCCGTGCGGCGGAAGCTCTACAGCGCAGGGTATGTGTCGAAGCCTCGGCGGCCCCCCCCCCCCCCAAGGTGGGCAGCCACGGGGCGGCCACGGGCGGCGAAGCGGCGAAACCTCGTCATCGCCCTCCTCCTCCTCCTCCTCCTCCTCGATCCTCCTCCTCCTCCTCCTCCTCCTCCTCCTCCTCCTCCCCCTCCCTCCCCTTCTACTTCTCCTCATTATCCTCCTCCTCCTCCTCCTCCTCCTCCTCCTCCTCCTCCTCCTCCTCCTCCTCCTCCTCCTTGGGCGGCGGCCGGGCGGCCACGAGGACTCCACGGGCGACGGCGCGGCGGGACCTCGGCGGACCCCTCCGAGGAGGCGGCGACGAGGTGGCCAAGAGGCGACCACGGGCGGCCACTCGGCGACACCTCGGCGACACCCGGCCAAGAGGTGGGCGGCCACGAGGCGGCCACGGGCGGCGGCTCGGCGAGACCTCGGCGCGGACCCCCAGAAGGGGGTTTCGGCAGCGAGGCGGCCACGAGGTGGCCACGGGCGGGGCCTCGGCGAAGCCTCGGCGGAGCAGAACCTCGACGACGACGACGACGACGACGACGACGACGACGGCGACGGCGGCGGCGGCGGCGGCGGCGGCGGCGGCGACGGCGGCGGCGACGGCGGCGGCGGCGGTGGCGGCGACGCTGACGACGACGACGACGACGACGACGACGACGACGACGACGACGACGACGACGACGATGACGATGACGAGGACAATCGGCGAACTTCGGAGCGAGAGGAGCAAGAAACTCTCAGCGCAAGCGCTGCGGGGACTGGTGGGGACCTGTGGGGCTACAGGAGGGAGGCGTCGTAAGTCGTGATCCGTGTCGCGAGACTCTTCCTCGACACCAGAGTCCGTGAAAGACGAGAGCAATGGGAACCAGTTGAGGATCGCATCACCGTGCTCGAAGCTTTACGCTGTGCTCCTCCATGCCCAGTCACAGCAGAAAGCTCCGACTCCTTTTCCGAAGTAGCGGAAAAGTGAGCGATTGGAACCAGTTGAGTTTCATTTCACTTTGTTCGGCGAAAACACTCAGACGTGCGAGCTCACGACCCCACACGCATATCTCGATCATGGCATGGATGAGCATCTGCGCGCGCGGAGAGAGAACGTTTTGGCCATATGTTGTCACACTGGCATTGCTGAAGCAGCGTTTTCAGATGATGCTGAGGACATCGATCGCACACTATGGTTGCACATCGAGCTGTATGAACTCACAGGTCTGATGGACAGGATCCCTGAAACATACGAACGCACATTGCAGGAGGGGAAAAACACACAGACACAATTAATCGTCGATTCCCCCGAAAATATGGTAAAATATGGGAAGCGGGGGGGAAGACAAAAAATCAAAAAATATTGGAAAATAGGGGGAATCCTGTCATTTGTGTGTGTATTTATTTGTGTGTCCCAGGGCCCTCTCAACACTGGAAAGCTGCCAGGCCGGATCCGGCGTCGCAGCGACCTGGGCATGCCGTGGCCCTCGGCCCGTCCCGCCGCCGCGCCTGGGCCGCGGGTCAGAGGGCTCCTTGGGTGCGCGTGGGCATCTCTTGCTTGGCCTCTCGGACGCCTGTTGGAGGTGGCTTCGGGGTGGGGCCTCCTGGTGCCCCGAAGGGGCACGGAGGGTGGACCTTTCTCCCCCCCCCACCGGTTCGTTCCCTCCCCCCCCCTCAGGCAACGCCCGATCCCCAGGACCAGCTCTTCATCCCGAAGTTGTTTTCTCCAGGGAGCCCTCGGACGCCGAACATCTGCAAGAGCCTCCTGTCGTGATCCTTCGTGCCGGTCCCCGATGTTCGCAGCCTTCCAGAGTTGCACCCTGAAGATCCTTAAGATGCAACTCTTGGGAGGCCAAATTCAGCATCGGCGCTGGAATATCCGTGGTCGAGTCCCGTTGAATTCTTACTCATCCCGCTTGCTTTGGCTTCATCGACATTGGTATTGGGCATCATCTGCTTCCATGCAGCCGAATGTCCTCTGAATCTGGCTTCACGGACATCTGCCCACTCCATTTTTTCGATTCGTGGGCCCTGGAGGTCTGGACCACTTCTCCAGGGCCAGTTTTTTCGTCCTGAGTCGTTACTTGACAGTCCCGAGGCCCGGCGAGGGCCCCCCCCGGAGGCAGAACGCAGCCCAAAACCCGCCGCTCCATTTTGTTCGGAGCGTCAGATCTGTGGGTTCATCTCGGCCACACGCAGAGGGGGGGCAGGGGGAGGGGGGGAAGGCTTCTCAGAAGCACTCCTGCTTCTTAGAGGGCGCGGCCCTTGTCTGTGGGCGTGGGGCCCGCGCCTCCTAAGAAGCGGCCTCCTTCTGAGAAGCCGTCCCCCCTCCCCCCCCTACCCCTTTTGTGCGCGCCGCCAACGATCGACTACACCTTAGGCGATGCTTAAGAAAACTTAAGTTTTCGACCAGAGTCTCGATTATTCTTAATGTTTCAATGTAAATCCTAAGGTTTTAATGGAAACGTTGGGTTTTAATCCAAGTTCTGAGACTATGAATTTCTTAACCCATGATTTCTTAAGCATCTCGCAGGGTGTACACGTAAGAGTGACCCTTCGCTGGAGTGACCTCTGGTGCGGACCCCGTGGGGCCCCCCGATCGCCGAAGGCGACGCGACGGCAGCGGCCTTCGCGCTCGGATCTGGCCCCCTCGCGCCCCCCCCCAAAAAGCTGCGCACCAGAGGCCACTCCTCGCCTGGCCTCCTCCTCCTCCTCCGCCTCCTCCTCCTCCTCCTCCTCCTCCTCTTCCTCCTCCTCCTCCTCCTCCTCCTCCTCCTCCTCCTCCTCCCTGGGTGCCGCCGACGCAGGAATTCTGGCAGCCTCCGGGTGTTGTGAGCGGTTTCTTACTCACGATGTTGCCGATCGGCGCGGGCTCTCGGACCCCCCCCCCCTCACCACTCACCAAACCACCTCAACCCAACCCGAAGGCCCGATTTGCCCTCCATTTCCAGTGGGGGGGGGGGGGGGGCGTCGGGTAACAATTCAAAAGCAGGCCCCACATGAAGCCCGTACCCCCCCCCCAGCCCGAAATTCGGGCGAAACTCTGGACTTCGGGTTGGGTTGGGGTGGTCGGGTAGGTAGTCCCCCCCCCCCCCCGCGTGGAGCAGATCTTGGCTGTCTATCGCGCCTGTTTCAGGCAGGTGGAGCCTCCCCCCGCAGGACGCACTGCTGCAAACGCAGAGGTCCGGAGCCAGACCCCCCCCGCGCCGCGCGTGGCCGCTCGCCCTTCTGCTGCCTCGTCCCCCCTCCTCGCCCCTGCCCTCTGCCGCAGACGCCCCCGTGTCCTGCTCCTCATCCCCCCCCTTCCTGCTGCCGTCCTTCCCTCCTCCTCCTCTCCTCCTCCTCCTCCTCCTCCTCCTCCTCCTCCTCCTCCTCCTCCACCTCCTCCTCAGCCTCCTCCCTCTCCTCCTCTTCCTCCTCCTCTTCCTCCTCCTCCTCCTCCGCCTTCTCCGCCTTCTCCTCCTCGTCCCCCTCCTCCTCATCCTCCTCCCCCCATTCTGCTCAGTGTCGACACGCCGACCAAGAAAAGCGCTCACGCTGCCGCCCGCCCGCCCCCCAGGAGCACAGGACCGGGCGGCCAGGCGCCCGCAGCAGCCCGCGCCGCGCCCCGGCTGCTGGGCGTCGGCGAGCTGGTGGTCGTCGACGGCTTCCTGGAGGGCGAGGCGCGGACCCTGACCCCCTCGGGCAACGTAAAAAATCATGACGGGAGGTGTTTCCTCCTCCCCCTTCTCCTCCTCCTCCTCCTCCTCCTCCTCCTCCTCCTCCTCCTCCTCCTCCGCCTCCTCCTCTCCTCCTCCCCCTCCTCCCCCTCCTCCCCTCCTCCTCCTCCTCCCTCCTCCTCCTCCTCCTCTCCTCCTCCTCCTCCTCCTCCTCCTCCTCCTCCTCCTCCTGTGAGATGTTTCACAATCTTCGGCCTCTGGGGCCCCTACCGGCCCTCGGGACCAAAAAGAATGACGCAGGATGAAAAAATTGGCCCAAGGGAATGGGCCGCGACTTATGATGATCGACGGTATGATGGAAACAAAAAACATGACGTCGGGGGTCTGAAGAGGAGAAGCATCGGCTACAGTGAACCCGCATTGCAAGGAGGGGCAGCTTTCCCAAGGCTACCCCTGGCATCCTTGCCTCCTCGGTCCGTCCTTGGCCACTCTCGTTGACCGCGCCCCGCTCGAAAAGCTTCGCCCCCTGGCGCCCGAGGCCCCCTCCTCCTCCTCCTCCTCCTCCTCCTCCTCCTCCTCCTCCTCCTACTACTACTACCTTCTCGTCCTCCTCCTCCTCCGCCTCCTCCTCCTCCTCCTCCCTCCTCCTTCTTGCTCCTCCTCCTCCTCCTCCTCCTCCTCCTCCTCCTTCTCACGCGCTCCTCCAGCATCCTTCTCGCGCATCCTCGTGATGCGGGCCGACTGGTACCCCGCGAGAGGGACCTCTCGCCGGAGGGATCCTTGGCGCGGGCCCGCCAGGGCTCCCCGAGGACCGGACGCCTCGCGACAGCAGCGTTTTGGGCGCTGCGTAATGGGGGGATCGTAAATGGGGGGGCGGCGAGTGTGGTCCGAAAAGGTACCCAAATGGTACCTAAACGAGCCCCCTGGGGCTGTGGAGGGGCCCGAAAGGGGCACGAAAGGGGACCTTTTCTGACCCCCCCATTTGTGACCCCCCCATTAAGCCACGCCCAAGCGTTTCGCGCGCTCGGGTTTGGCCTTCCCGCGGTCTCCAAAAGATCGCGCACCAAGGGTCACTCTTGCCCAGGGTCACTCCTGCGTGTAGCCTTGTGCTTCTACAGAGGACATGCTACATGTTCAACAACAGTCAAGACTACAAAATAGTCTGGGGACGATGTTTCGACCTGTTGTGACTATGTTTGATCAGTTTTGACTGTTTTCTCTTTCTTTTCCAATCCGCCTGTCGGAGGACATGCCCGACCGAGGTGGAGCCGAGGCAGATGGTACCCCATACTTCGGCGGCGAGCGAGGGGGGGGAAGTCGGAAGGAGAATGGCCTTCCCAGAAGGGGCGGCGAGGCCTCTCGGAAGGCATCCAGCCTTCTGCGCGGCTCTCCGTGTCTTCTGGGAAGGCTTGGGGCACTGCTCAGAAGGCCGGGGGACTTCCGAGCCTTCTGAGAAGGTCTTCTCCTTCTCACCTCCCCCCCCCTCGGGCTCGCCGCCGAATGCCGCCACCTGTTCCTCGTCTTCCCTTATCAAGGGGGGGGCCTCTTGGGAGGCCCTCGTCGCCACCGCTGGACTCGCCTCGAAGTTGCGGTCAGGACGCACCCCAGGAGGGTTATCGGGGGGAGCAGAGGGGTGTGGGCACCCCGAGGCGCTGGAGCGGGCGAGCGGCATCATCTCCAGGGGCGCCGCGAAGTCGCAGGCCCAGGGGCTCCGGGTCAGGGGCAGGGGCGGCCACGCTGCATGCTCGGGGACCCCGCCTGTCCCCAGAGGCTCTGGTGCCTCCTCGCGTGCCCGAAGCCGGCTCGATGCGACTTCCACGCGGATCCGGCGTGGATCCGGCTTGGACTCGGCGCGGATTCGACGAGTCTGGCATGGATTCGGCACGGGCTCGGCACGGATAGGGGCGCGGCGGGACAGACAAACGCTCCCCCGAAGATGCAGCACGAGGGGGGGGGGGGGTGGCAGGCCTGGGGGGGGCGGACGCCTCGATCCCCCAGTCGCCCGTGGACCGTCGATACCTATAGGGGGGGCCCGACAGCCCGGCCCGCCCAGGAACGTGCGGGTGCGCTGCCGGGGGCCTATCGCCGATGTATCAGCGATGCATTGCCGATTCCACGTCGGCGCTTCCCCCCATGCGGCGGTGCCCAGAAAGGGGGTAGTGCGAGCGATGTGAGCTTCGAAGAAGGCTGCGGGGCTTCTAAGACGGCAGAGGGGGCTTGCTGGAAGGCCGCGCGGCCTCTAGGAAGCCTTCTTAGAAGCCTCCAGGGCCGTCTACGAAGGCCCCCTACATCATTCGAGTAGGAGATCGACTACAGAACTGATTTGCCCCAAAAATTGTGGATCTTCCAAAAGGTGTATAATCTTCGTAGATCTACATGGATTTTACGAATTTGTCGTAGATTCGGCCTAGTTTTCAAGTAAGTCGATCTCCTATTCTCGGCGGCGAACGCGGGGGGTGAGAAGGAGAAGGCCTTCTCAGAAGGCGGCGGGACTTCAAGCCCTCGCGCCTTCTGAGAAGTGTTCTGTGTCTTCGGGGAAGGCTTAGGACGCTTCCTAGAAGGCTGGGGGACTTCCAAGCCTTCTGAGAAGGCATGTTCCTTCTTACTTTCCCCCTGGGCTCACCGACGAGATCTACAGTCAAGGCGCATACAGTCGGCCCTGATTGGTAGGTCGACCATGCCAAATCGACGGTACCCTTGTGTGCTGTCCATCCCGACCGATGCAAACCGCGCGTCCTTTGGTGTTCTGGGGCCACGTTGCCTTCGGAAGAGTCTTGTGTCCTCTCCAGGTGACCTGCCCAATCAAGTCGGGCTGACGTCAGGATCGGCAACTTTCCAAGGATGCCCTCATATCATATCCTTGCCCCGTCGGCCCATCCTTGGGGGCATTTGCTGGCCAACCCCGCTCGAAAGCGCCAACGTGGCCCTCCAGGGCCCTTGCATCCTTGTCGCACATCCCTATCATGCGACGACTTGACTTTCGGATGGAAGAGCTACTTTCAGGAGGGAAAGAAACACACAGACACAATTAATCGTCGACTCCCCAGAAAATATCAGAAAATATGGCAAGTGGGGGGGAAGACAAAAACCCAGAAAATACGAGGAAATATTATCAGGATGGACCGATGTTGCTTGGAGTCTTAGCCACAGCCTCGGCTCCGTCACGGGGGGGGCAGTATGCCGACATCGACGCCGTGCCCTCGCGCTCGCCTTTCTCGGGGCCTCCCCGGAAGGGCCCCCGTCGCCACGGCTGGCTTCGCCCCGGCATCCTGGCCAGGACGCACTCCGCGAGGGGCCCGAGGAGTAGCAGCATAGGTGTGTGTGTGTGTGTGTCTGTGTGTCTCTGTGTCTCTGTGTCTCTGTGTCTCTGTGTGTCTGCGTGTCTGCGTGTGTCTGTGTGCCTGTGTGTGTCTGTGTGTCTGTGTGTCTGTGTGTCTGTGTGTCTGTGTGTCTGTGTGTCTGTGTGTCTGTGTGTCTGTGTGTGTGTGTCTGTGTGTCTGTGCGTCTGTGCGTCTGTGCGTCTGTGCGTCTGTGCGTCTGTGCGTCTATGCGTGCGTGCGTGCGTGCGTGCGTGCGTGCGTGCGTGCGTGCGTGCGTGTGTGCGTGTGTGCGTGTGTGCGTGTGTGTGTGTGTGTGTGTGTGTTCGTGTGTGTGTGTGTGTTCGTGTTCGTGTGTGTGTGTGTGTGTGTGTTCCGCTCCGGCCGCCTAAGGCCCCGCCTTCCCGTGCCCTGTCTCCCTAATTCAAGCTGTGCGTAGCCCGCCCAGCTTTTAGCGGAAGAGGTTCGCTCTCGCCCCGCCGACCAAAAAAGTGTGTGCGTGTGTGTGTCCCCCCAGCAGGCGACCGTGGTGCTCAACGCCAGCACGCAGGGCTACATGCCCGCCGAGGCAGACAAGGCCTTCCTCCAGGAGGTGCTGGAGAAGATCCGCGCCTACGCCGATGCGCACGTGCATCCCGTGCCCGATGGCACCGACCCGTATCCGTTTAAGGGGAGATATTTCATCGACAGTTGGACTTTGCGCCGCTACGTCCATGAGCACTCCGACGCTAAGCGGGTGCAAGTCCACACGGACACAGAACAGCCAGGACGGTGCCTCTCAGCGTCGCTGTATCAAAGACGCCTCGGGTGAGTCACCGCCGCCCCTGCCCTCTTCGAAGCGCCGATGCAGCAAGATGCTGAGCCGCCGCTTGGCCCAGCTGCTAAACATTGAGTGTCCAAGCCGTTGGGTCCGATGTCCCAGTCTTTGCTTGCGTCTCTGCTGCTGTCGTGGGGGCTTCTGGGGCTCTCGGGAGCAACACTTGGGGCACCCTGGGGCATCTCGAGTGCATATTGGGCTATACTGGAAGCTCTGGGTGCCGTCTTGGGGATCCGTCTTGGGGTTCTCGTACGGCTCTCGTTCCTGGTGCTTCCTCGTCTTGCGGCTCTCATGGGCCGTCTCGGGCTCTGGAAAAGGCGTCTTGGAGTCCGCTTTTGGGTCTGGGGCCATCTTGGGCCCTCTAAAGGGATCCCTGGGCCTGCCTAGTCTTGCGGCTCTCAGAGACCGCATCGGGCGCTGGAGGAGGCGTCTTGGAGTCCACTTCGGGGCGATATGGGAATTGTTCTGGCCACCTTGGGCCCTCTTTATGGATTCTCTGAGGCTGCCTCGTCGTGTGGCTCTCTCGACGCCTCTCAGACAGCTCAGGACGTCCCAGGAGGGCTCCGGGAGGCCCCGCGAGGCCAACAGAATTGGGAAAACCACATTGTTTCCTTTCGCCTCTGTGAGGCCCCTTGCCTTCCCAGTCTTCCTAGCGTCAAGGACTGCCAGCCGGAGCCTTAGCGACCGCCCCCGCGGCGGCCCCGAAAGGGACCCCGAGACCCAGACCTCCGACGTCGTGCTTGCATCGCAACGTCGACCACCACGAGGTCTGGACCCCTTCCCCAAGACCGGTTTTTCATCCTGAGCTGTTTTTGTTGACGGCCCCGAGGCCGAGAGGTATATTCCACCCCAGAGGTATATTCCACCCCCCGGGAAAATGTGGGAAAATATGGGAAGGGGGGGGGAAGTTGAAAGACCAGAAGATATGGGAAAATCTAAGAAGTCTTGGGAATTTGAATTTGTGTTCGTTTAGTCGTGTGTACCTGGGCCCCGTTGAACATGGCCCCAGAGGGCTCGAGAGGGCCGACGTCGGCCCAGGGAGCCCCCCACGCGCCCCCCCAGAAGACCCCAAGGAGACCCCCAAAGAGGGCCCAAGAAGGCTCCAAGAGATGTCCAAGGCGGCCCAAGTGCTCCTCCTCCTCTTCCTCCTCCTCCTCCTCCTCCTCCTCCTGCAAGTCCTCGGGGAGGATAGGCACGGGAACGACGACGAAGTCCTCTCGGATCGTTTCGCTCCAAAACGATCAAGCACTCGAGCCAAACCGCGGCTCCCCCAAAAAAACACAGCCCGGGGAGACCACCAACAAAAAGGCCCAGGAGCGGACGACGGAGCGCTCCGTCGGGCCGTGTAGCCCCCGCGAGGCGGCGTGCATGTGCGGTTGGTAAAGTATCTTCGTGGCACGTGTTATACAGTGGAGGCCCATGCCAAGACACACCCTGCCTGCCTCCAGGGAGCCCTGGGTTCCTTAGGTTTCGATGTTTTCGCTGTACAAAAAGCGTGGCGCTCCCGCACCAAAAGAATCCATGGACGTCCTGGGGTCTCCTGGTTGGGTCTCTTCTGGAAGGCCTCTTGTGGTCGTGCCCCCACTGCATTATAGATTCGCTCCGACGCGCGGCCTTCCGCCTTCGAGAGGGCGCCTCGGCCACCGGGGCAGATTCCCGCCTCGGACGCAGGGATTTTGCCATGTGTGTTTGCCGTGGTGCCGGCGCCGTCCACCCGGGCGGGGAGGGCGCCATGTGTCTGCCGTGGATGTGTGCCGTGTTTTTTCGGTGTCGTCTGCATGGGCGCGTCGAGAACAGGCGACGCGGCGACGGATTATGTCTGCTCCTCCTCCTCCTCCTCCTCCTCCTCCTCCTCCTCCTCCTCCTCCTCCTCCTCCTCCTCCTCCTCCTCTTGCCTTGGTGCAGTACTGTGTGATTGCGCAGAGCACAGCGTTTCTGCAGGGGGGGGCAGCGGATTTGCACGACGAGAAGGACGTCGAAGGTGGAGTACTGGAAGCTTACAAATGTCCACCCACCGAGAACTGCCGCTCATTGGTGATGCAGGACGCTTATAGGCCGTTCGCTAAGGAGGATGCTGTTCTGGAGATTGCAGAGGAGGCCTCGTACAAGCGTGGCCGTGTCGTATTCTTCTTAGCCTCAACCCCACATGCAGTAAGCGAACTGAAGAAGGGCAATCGCGACGTCCTCTTTGTGTGGATCGGTTGCTATCCCACGTTGCGTAGCGTGGGCGATGGAGACGTGGGCCTTGTGACGAAGTTGTTGGAAGAGCGCGCCGACGTCAATTCTGGATTCTCCCGTGGGATGACGCCGCTGCATTTTGCAGTGGCGGGCGGCCATAAGCCAGTCACCGAGCTGCTCCTGGAGAAACGAGCAAATCCGAACGCCGAGGAGTATTACCTTCTCCGAAGCCCCGTGTTCGCGGCAGCGGAGTCGGGGTCGGCGAACGTTGTGGACAAGCTCGTCGAGTTCGGAGCCGACATTTGCTTGTCGAATGCCAAGGCCGGAAGACGTGGAACTAATCCAGGTTTCCCGCATGCGGCTGGAGTAGATGTGGTGGGAAGACCGCGCCGCATCGCCGATGCACTGGCGATGTCGCGCATTATTGTGCCCGATTATCCATGCAGCTCCATATTTAATCCAACCTCCGGCGAGCAGGACCAGAACGGACTGCGGAGGCCGTGCAGATCGAGGCCGGGCGAGGGCGGCCGTGTTCTTATTCTTAGGAGGCGGCCCCTTCAAAACCAGCGCCCCGGGCCTCCAGGGCTCCCATGAGGTCCCCAGAGACCCAGACACGCCCGAACACGCGAAAATACCTCGATCTGCGGTCTGCGAGGAGGATCGAGGAGGAGGAGGAGGAGGAGGAGGAGGAGGAGGAGGAGGAGGAGGAGGAGGATCGGCGAGCGAGGGGGGGGAAGCGAGGAGGAAGAGGCCGTCTCGGAAGGCGGCGGGGCTCCTCAGACGGCCTCGCGCCGTCGGAGCGCTGTTTTTGTGCTTCCCGCGCCCTCGGAGACGGGCGCACGGCGCGCGCTTCTCAGAAGGGCCCCGGGGGGGGGGGACGCCCGAGCCTCTTCGGAGCAGGCCCGCCCCTCCTCGCCTCCCCCCCCCCCTTCTTATCAGGAGAGGAAAAAAGACACAGACACAATGAATCTTCGATTCCTCAGAAAAAATATGGGAAGTGGGGGGGAAGACAGAAACCCAGAAAATATATGGGAGAATAGTGGGAATCTTGTTCTTTGTGTGTATTTGTTCGTGTGTCCTGGGGCCCCTTCGCCTTAGCTAGGCTCGCCGCCGAGGGGAGCGGAGGCAAGCCGCTGGAGCGGGCGAGCGCTGCCTCGCCCGGGGCCGAGGATCCCGCCCACGAGGACCCCCGCCCTCGTGGGGCCCGGCATGGCCCGTCGTGTCTCGGCGTGCCTCGGCGAGCCCCGGGGACACGCCAAGCGGCGGCGACGGCAGCGACGCTCCACTTGTTCACCAGCGCAGAGGGGGCCCTGTGGCGAGGACAGCAGGCAGGGGGGAAGAGGGAGGGAGGAGAGTAGAGGGGGCCAGTCGCCGCACCGAATGAGCTCGGCGCCTCCCTGGCCCCCGGCCCCTCCACACTCCCGGGCCCCTGGCATTGCGCCTGCGTTGCAGCACGCGATCCGCAGGAGCTCCCGGCCACCCCCTCCCTGGGGCCGCTCCCTCCTGCCCCGGGCCGTGGCTGACCGTCCCGGCCCAGACACCGACGGCTGCCAGGAGAGGGGGAAGAAGCACGGACACGAATAGAATCGTCGATTCCGGGGGGGAAATGGGGAAAGATGGGCAGTGGGGGGGGAAGACGAAAACCCAGAAAGTATAAGAAAATATGGGGAGTCCAAGGATTTGTGCGTATTTACTTGTGTATTCCTGGGCCCCTTCCAGTTGCTACAGCAACACGTCCTAATTTGATTCCCAGACGGTGGAGGTCTGGCGCCCCCCCCCGTCTTCAAAGTCGGCCCCTAGACCCGCCCTTGGGTGCGTCCAGGCCGGCCGTGGCAACGAGGGTATGTCAGCAGGGCCAAGACCGCTCGACAGTTTGTGCTGGAACGCCCGCAAGACTCCGAAGCGACGAGGACGTTGGAGGACGACGATTATTTTTTTTTTTTTTTTTTTTTTTTTTTTTTTTCCCCCTGAGGCTTCAACCACCTTATCTGTCCCGCATTGGGGCTTGCACCCAGGCTGCACATGGCGCTTGCAGCCTGCAACAAGAAAAGGCGCCTTGCAGTCACCCTCAAACAGATGGGCGAAGGGAGGCGACGAGGCAAAGGCAGGCTCGAATCCCTGAAGGATTGGGAACCCGAGGCCTAACGCCTGTCTGGACAAACGTGAGACATGAGCAGCACCTTCGACCAGAGCTAAACAAAAATAGAGCGGCTATTAATCTGAGTCGTCCTGATCAGCTTCGGGATTTGAGCTGGGGACAGACGGAGCGGCGCCAGCCGCGATACAGAGACGACGAACCCTGGCCTGGAACTCGCGTGCCTTCTCTTCCTCCCTCAAACGAACAGCCAACCCACGCTGCGGGAGCATGGGACAAGGGGCAGCAGGCGGAAGAGGAGGAGGGGGCACGGGTTCACTCACAGCCGTGGGCAACACGTCCTGAAACAGATTAGAGCCGTCACGAAGATTAACTCCCAACTGCACCACCACCCCCTTCCTCTTAGGGTGACGGCTCTTGCAGATCTGCTGCCAAACCCAGACTCCGAACTTACTGGGAGGGGGGTCGCAGCGAGCAGCCAGTCCACGGAGGGTACCGTGGGAGGAGTAAAACTTACACTTCATACAAATCACAAGCTCAGACCCGTCGCTACACGGGAACATCACACACTTGTGCTGAAGGGCGGTGAGCTTGTCGGCACTGCAGGCTTTTAAACCAGAACAACGACCAGGAAGGGGTTTCGAACCGTCCCGAGGCCGACGAATCTGGAAACACCGAGAGCAGCGCCAAAAGCCTTCAAACCTAAACCACTTGTGAACGTTACCAGAAGAAGCTTTGGGCACGTTCACCACAGGGAGGTAAGGCACATCTTTGATAGAGCTGAGAGCAGAAAACTCTGGCAGCAACTTAGCCGCGAGCTTGCAGGCAGCCCTGGCAAACTTCACACTCTCGTTAGCTTCTTCCAGCACGTTTGAGTCTGAGGGATGAAACGCAAGGGCCTCCTTAGCCCCTTGGTCGGCCAAACGATTCCCTAGACGAGCGGCTTCCTCCTGAGCTGAGATGCCATCCTCAGACAAGGACTGGTGAGCCTTAATTTTGAGCACATCACGAATGTGACGACGCTCGGGCCTGGACAAAAGCTGAACAAAGACACCAGAGTACATACGTTTGAAAAAGGTTTGAGCATCTCTTGGAAGCTCATGTTGAGTGACAACGTTGGCACAATCGGTGATGATCGAGCTGGGGCCAGTGAGACACATGACCGCCCCCCAGTATCCCGAAAACTCGCCGGCTTGAGGGGTCTGGGGGAGCGGGGCCCACACAGGGCATCTCATAGTACACAGCAGCTCATCTTCGTCGGAAAACAAAACCGCACACCAGGACGCACGATTCAGCTCTTTTATAACGTGCCGAGAGCAGGAACCGTCAACAAAAACTTTCCCCTGGAGGCTAAAAACATTGTCTGAAGGCGGGTCCCCACGCCACGAAACGTCCCAGGAACCCTCTTCGAGCGGGGGGGGGTGTTCGTCACCAGGATGAGCCAAGATGCCTCGGGTAACCAGGGTCAAGCGATGTCTTCCCTGCGAAACGAAGTCCGTCACCCCGTCGACGATCTCATCCCCCACAGCTTCGCGACGTTTGGCGTCCAAACAAGGACATACCCATAACCTGTGGTACATAGTGTCACGAGCCTTCCCACACAACTCACAAAACTCTGGGAACTCGTACCCTTTGGACCTGGCGTAGATGCGAGTCCACACCGCACCCGTGCTCCAGGCTCGGATAATGCCCTTTTCAAGCGGAGAAAAACGTTTGGTCGCGAGAGCTTCATGGACGACATCGAGGCAGCCCCGACCAGGGAGAAAAAGCTTACCTCCAATCATCCACTCTAGCTGTCTGAAGACCGCCTCCATGGCGAGACGGCGCACGAGAGCAGGCGACAGGCACAGCAACGGCAGCTCCACGCCGCGATCGTCGATCAGCGTGGCGAAGTTGGGCATCTGCCAACTGATCCTCTCGAGACTTTTCCTCATGGCTGAGATTGGACCTGAAACAGATCTCCAAGACTTGGATTCCAAACCAAAAACCGATCCCCACACTTCTCTCATTTCAGCAAAACTCAAAACCGAGGGGTGAGAGGACAAATGGGCGTGCCAGAGTTCCTTATGCCACCTACAAATCGGAGCAATCTGAACCGCCCAGGTGGGGTCCTTTTCCAGATGCAGAAGAATCGAAAGCGAGCGGTCACCCGCACTCGGCTTGATAGTGCTGGCAAAGGACCGTCTTAAAGCCAAAAGTTCCCCGTCGGAAATCCCAGAGATTTCGGCGCCGTAAGTGGCAGCAGGAAGGACCCCAGAGCACCAGACATTTCGAGCCTTGCGTCCAACCGTGCGAGCGAGTCTCCCCACGCGCCTACCACGACGAGAAGCCTTGATACGACGGGCTTTGGCTTTAGCATTACGACCTTGCTGACGAACTGGGCGACCGACCGTGTCGTCGACGCCTAAATTCGGGGCCGAAGAAACCAAGGGCCCCGCGAGGGCCACCCCAATGGCCTCCTGGACCTTACAACCAAGTTTTCTGTCGGACGATATTAGAGCCCCTTTGTCCTCGGCCAGGGTGGCGCCGATCCCCTCAGAGATGGCGACGACCAACTGCGAACTAGCGGAGACCAGCCCTTCGAGCACCTCGACCTCCGATCCAATGGCGTGAACCGCGTTGTCGTCAATATAAAGAGCGTACGTAGTACAAATGGGCCATTCGATCTGGTCGAGGGCTTCCAGGCTGTTGACTCGAATAAGCGTCGTTGCAAACGAGCAGCCGGCCACGATGCCGAAGCTGGCGAAAATGGCGTCCGTCATGAAACCACCTAACACGATGTGACGCGCACATCTGTACGCTGAACAGCAGAGACGCGCCACCGCAGCGGGAAAGCCCAAAAGCAGACACCTGCCCAGCATACGGTCGAGATCTATGCTTTCATAATATTTCTGAAAATCCCACAGCAGAGTGACGGCAAAGAGGCCAGCGGCCACCCCCCCTTCACTCCGTGCAGCTTGTCGCCACACCGTGTCAGCAGCTCCCATAAAACGTCCCGCGGCAAACCAAGGCCTGTAGTTGGCCTCCTCCCAGGCCAAACCAAGCGGCCTCCGAATTTTAGCCCAGGCCCGATAAAGGCCCCCGAACAAACCAATGGGCCTGAGACCTGGAAGAGCTTTGGGGATCAGGTGAAGGATGACAACTCGAAAATGAGAAGGGAGAAAAGAGGAGATCTCCATCATCTGCATAATGAGAGCCAGGCACTGCAAGCTGGCTTCAGACAGCCAGGCAAAATGGCGGATGTGGAATCCGTCCGTCGAGACGGCCGAGAAAAGTTTATGCTTCCCACAGACACTCCTTATCTCATCAGGGCTGATGGGAGGGAGATCAGGGGCAGGATCGAAGGTGGCGGGAGGTGTCGGGGCCGTCACCTGGGCCCTCCAGAGGGCCTTGAACCTGCTCTCCTCACGCTGAAGAAGGTTGTGGGGGTCGCTAACAACACGGTCTCCATCAATGAGGGTGGTGGTGGGCACAAAGGATTTAGGATCACGAGTAACCAAGTGGGCCCGCTTGGCCCCTTTATTGAACCCTTCCAAAACCCACTGCTTCCAGGACGCCTGGGAGGCCGAGCGAGTTTCATGGATGGTCTGGTCCAGGGCTCCACGGATACGATCTTTTAAAACTTGCGCCACCTCCATGCCCACCGTGCTCGGGGACAACTCGGCCTTCGCAGCAAAGGCTTGAACGTCGCGGAGCAGCAAAGCGCGCTCCACCAGCGCGCTCGAGATAGACGCCGAAGGCTGGAGGAGAGGCTGAGTGGCCGCCTCAAGCGGCGCTCCCTGGCTGAGCAGACCGACAAGCACCTGAAAACGCTGCCAAAGCCATCTGGTGGCGAAAAGGGACGGGTTGCGGGGGTTGCGAACGTCCTGATCCATAACCGAACGCCACACCAATTTGGGGGGCTGGCCACGAAGGCCCATCCGCGGGAGGTCGACCCCAGTGGCACGAGTGAGTTCGACTTCGGCCGCATCGGCCCATTCCCCATAACACTGGTCTAAAATCATCTGCGTGCGCAACCCATCGCCAGATCGAGCAGTGTCGACACCGCTCCGAAGCTTGGCAAGAAGGCTCGCCAGATCGGGGGGGGCCAGCTGCGGACCCACCATCTTCTCGACAGGGATCCTAGGAGGCTTCCTGAACGCGAGCGAACGCAGCCGTCCGATCTGAGGGAAGAGGGTAAGCCGAACGGGCGAGTGAGGAGAGAGGTCGGATTCGGAGATCACCGAAACCCCCCGAATAGCCGAACTAAGGCCTCGACTGCACACGAAGAAATCGCTTAAACGTAAACCCCCCGTTGTCGTACAGGTCCCCACGACATCAGGAAAAACCACCCGTCCTTCAGATCGAACGTCAAATCCTGACTCTTGCAGCAAGGCCGGGTGGAAATTAAAGTCGCCGCCAATCAGCCAAGATGAACCACAAGATGAGACTGCCGCCCCGAGGTCGGCTAAGAGCGTGCTGTTGGGCTCTTCCAGCTTCTTACCGTCCTGCATGTAAACCGAGAAAACCGAGACCTCCAAACCCCCAGGAATCTGAACGGCCGCGCCCATCACGCGGTGCAAAAACTTGGAGACGTCAGGGAGACGATGGAGGCCCAGCCAACTGCGACAAAGGATAGCAACCCCTCCAGACGTACCTCCTGACTCAGACTCCAAGGCTGGCTCCCACAAACTTTTCCACCCCGCTCGAAGGGCCCAGGCAGAGGCTTGGAGGATGTCCTCCTGAGAGGCTAAGTGGTGCTCTTGCAAAACTACAACATGGGCCTGGGATCTGGAGAGCCAAGACTTGCCTGAGGATTTCCATCCCGACACGTTGCAGGTCTCAAAAGATAAGGCGACCGCATCAACGTGAGGAGGGGTATCCTGGGCAACAAAGGGCTTCACATAAACAGGGTCCCGAGGTCCAGGCAGAGACGTGATCTGAGCAACCCTGGCCTGAATCGCGTGACCACGCTTGAGACAGGTAGGGCCACTCGAGCAAAACTTCACTCGCTCTTGCCTCACAATCTCCACAGGAGGCCGAGCTGAGATGGCGTCAGCCAAAGATATAAACATCGGGTGTACGTGATACTGTGAGGCTTCGGCCTCAACCCTGCTAGGAACTCTGTTTGCCAGTGCTGGAACCACCAGCCACAATACTGGCGGCAGCACGCAAAGTGGCCGACGAGCTGTCAGCTGATGGCGCCCCGTTCCCCCCACCCGTACCGCCCGCTCCCCCTCCCTCAGAGGCAGTGGCGGCAGGCGGCGGGGCCGCGGCGTCACCTGGCTGATGAGGAGGTACCTGGCCAGGTCCACCTGCAGGCTCATCGCGACGACGACGCTTCCCTGCCAGACGTTCCAGCAGCGCCTGATGATCAGCTTTTGCTCTCTCCACCGCAGCCGCCGCCTCAGCGAAGACCTTCGTGGTGGCCTCCTTGAGGCCAGCATTGAGCTGCTCGACCAAGGAGTCTGCTGCCTGCTTATCTTCCGTGGAAAGCTCGTACTCGTCATCCCCGAAAGAGAACATATCGCCGAGCGTGATAAGCTCGTGTGTCTTGCCGTCCATAATATCTTTGACCGTGACCTGAGGCTTGGGCGACGGTCCCGCCTTCGGCCCCGACTTCTTGGCCAGCTCCGCAACCAAACGCTGGTGCTCCAGCTCTGCCTGCTTGTACTCGTCGTTGGCCACGACCACAAGCTTGCGCTGTGCCTCCAAAGACTGCTCCAGGTTGGTGAAAAGCGTGACGTTCTTCTGTAGGCGTTGCTCAGCGGCGCGAAGAGTGTGGAAAGCTTGATTGACTTTGCGCTCCACTGGCACCTCAAGCACAGGTGCTCTCCTCGCGTCCAGAACAGCCTGAAACTTCTTTGCGCCGACTGCATCGCCTGCCTTACCAAGGCTGGCCACCAAGACCTCGAGCTCCTTGTCATCCATGCCACCAGCATCGGGTAGGGGCTCGGCTTGGGGACCATCAGGTGGAGCAGGGGCTCGACCACCAGGAAACACAGGGGCCTGACGAGGCAAGCCGAAGAAGCCAGGTGGTTGAGCAGACCCAGGAGCACCATATTGCCAGCCAGGGGCCGACGGGTAGTACTCGCGCGGGGCCTTGCAGTGCTTGCAGAAAGCGGCGGTAGCAGCGTTGCGACGGCATGGGCACTTGGTGCATGCCCATTTCTGGCCTCCACCTCCTGACGGCTGGTGCGCGGCAGCTGGCCCTGGCCAGAGTTGCGCTCCAGGCTGCAGAGGAAGGGGAAGCTGAGGTCCAGGAGGCACACCAGCAGGCTGATCACCACGCCAAGGAGGACTGTGCGCTGACCAACGCCCTGATGCCCACTGATACCCCATCGCAGCTGCCTGTGAGGAATCGTGGAAAAGATTGGGAGGATAGGGCCTCCCGCCGAGACACTTTGGCCCGCAGACGCGAGCCGCTCTGAAGAAACGCGCCTGCAAAACTCAGCTTGAGCGCAGAACGGCTTGGAGGACGACGAAACGAAACGGAACAGTACGAGGACTCCCGGAGGTCTGCTGAGATCCCTGGAGGTCTCTGGACGCCCAGACAGGACAAGTCTAAGCACCGCCACAAATCTCGAGCATCGATCCTCGATTTCTGACCACGACGGCGACGACAACGACGCCCACGACGACGACGACGACGACGACGACGACGACGAAAAAGACTACCTGTGGATGTGTTCTGGGTTGCGCTCGAGCTATAATGTTGAACGTCATCCAGCCGTGGCCACGACGCGGAACACCCAGAAAGCCCAGCGACCGAAAACCTCCAGGAACACCCGAAAACATCAGAAGCGACGATGGCGACGACAACGACGAGGACGGCGGCGACGCCGACGACCTACGACGGAGTTTGTCAGGGACGTCTCGCCCTGGAGGTTCAAACGTGTTCGGGATCCTCGACCCTCGATCCTCTTCGGCGACGACGGCGATCCCCTGAGGTGTCCTGGGGCGCAACCTGGCCGTGGCGTCGTAGGGGACTGAGCCGCGGCCCCGAAGGAACCCCCCGAGACCTGATCGGTCTGAGAAGACCAACCGGGCTTCGCCCCTCGAAGCTCGAGCACGAGGACGACCAGGACGACGACGGCGGCGGCAGCGGCGGCAACGGGGGCGACGACGACGACGACGACGACGACGACGACGACGACGACGACGGCGACGACGACGACGACGACGACGACGACGACGACGACGACGACGACGACGACGACGACGACGACGGCGACGACGGCGGCGACGACGACGACGACGACGTCGACGACAGCCGCAAAGGGCGTGACGCCGCTGCAGCAGGCCGTGAGCGCAGGGCACGACGCCGTCCGGGACCGCCTCGTGGCCCTGGGCGCGGGGCGGTGCCCCCCCGGGCAGCCCCGGTCCGGCAAAGGGAGGCGCCGGGGTTCGGGGGCCCCCAAACGAGGCGGTGACCACACCGTGCGGTGAGTCGGTGGGGATTCGGGCTCACCGCACGGTTTTGGGGCTCGGGTCGTCTTCCGAGGACGTCTCGGGCGACTGGGGCCCCCCAGGGTCCCAAAACCGTGCGGTGACGGACCGTGCGGTGAGGTCTCGGGGGATTTCGAGGTCACCGCACGGTCCGTCACCGCACCGTTTCGGGTTTCCAAAGGGTTCTCCTGCTCGCCGGGGGGACCCCCCCTCGAGGCATGAACAAAATCACGACGGGAGGTTTCTCCATATTGTCGGCGTCCGGGAGATCCTATACCAGGCCTCGGGACCGTCCGAAAACGACGCATCATGAAGAACCGGTCCTGCAGGGGAATGGGTCCAGACCTCTGGGGGTCGACGTCATGAAAAAATCACGACACTCAGAGGAGGACAACACTCAGAGGAGGATAAGGTACCCATACCTGTACCCTCCCCTCGTTTTCCCCTGTTGGGGCCTCCGCGGAGGCCCTCGTCGCCACCGCCAGATTCGCCTCAAGATTCTGGTCAGAACGCACCCCAGGAGAGGTCCGGGGAGTAGCGGTATCGGTTCCTTTTGGTGTCAACAAGCGCCATAAACGAACAAGAAAACATGGCATAAACATAAGCTTTGGCGCTCCGCGCGGATTTCTCGGATCCGCGCTGGACCCCCTCCGGCGGCGCCTCCAGCGCCGCCCCTGGCGCGCTACGCGCGCTAGGGGAAGAGGGTCCAGCGCAGATCCAAGAAATCCGCGCAGAGCGCCAAGAGTTGATGTTGACATCGTTTTTCTTGTTCTAAATAAGCACTCATGCAGTGGCGAAGCGTCCTGGGTTGCCTCTAGGCCCACCAAGGAGTTTCTGGGAACACCTGGTGGTCTGAACGACTGCTCTCAGAGCATTTCTGGCTGGGGCTGTCTCGTGTTATCGCACAGGGTCTATGTTGACAGAGCGTGCTGTTGTTGCTGCTGCTGTGATTCGAGCATGTGTGGGTTTGACGAAGATCTCGTGGTAGGCCGAGAGGAATGCCAGGACGGTCGGTCCCTGCTCTAAACATAGCTTCTCGAAGGACCGCGCGAACCTCTTGGACCCGGAGCGGCGTTGGGACCCCCTTGCGGCGCCTCCGCCGCCGCCCTTGGCGCACTCCACGAGCCAGGGGGGGGGGGTCCAGCGCCGAGCCCTCGACTTCGCGCGGACCTCCGAGTAGTGATGTTTACGCCCTCGGCGCGCTCCGCGAACCCGTGCGGGGGGTCCAGCGCCGAGCCCCCAAATCCGCGCGGACCTCCGAACAAATCATGGTTATGCGGTTTCCTCTTGGTCCTCTTAAAGGAGGCAGGCAGGTCGTGAGGGAAGTAGGTCTCAGGTTTTTCGCCGCGTCTGGCCTCACGGGGGCCCGCTGGGGGCCCCTCGGGGCTGTCAGAGAACGACTCCGGACGAGAAGGTGGTCCTGGGCGGAAGCCCTGGGGTCTGGCCGTAGACTTAGTCGGGCCTGTCCCCCTACAGGGGGATTTTCGACGAAAAATGAAAATTATCCCAGTGCGACCCTAGTTAGGAGTTGGAACCCCTAGGAAAGCAGCATTAGTAGTAGCAGTAACGCTAAGCTAAAGCTAAGTTAAAGCTAAGCCACAGCTAAGCTAAAGCTAACCTAAAGCTAAGCTAAAGCTAAGCTAAAGCTGAGCAACAGCTAAGCTAAAGCTAAGCTACAGCTAAGCTACAGCTAAGCTAAAGCTAAGCTAAAGCTAAGCTAAAGCTAAGCTACAGCTAAGCTCAAGCTAAGCTAAAGCTAAGCTAAAGCTAAGCTAAACGCCAAGCGAAAAGCTAAGCGAAACGCTAAGCTAAAGCTAAGTTACAGCTAAGCTAAAGCTAAGCTAAAGCTAAGCTAAAGCTAAAGCTAAAGCTAAAGCTCCCAGGGGACTGGGGGGAACCGCGGGGCGGGGACTGAGGGAACCGCCCGGGGCGCTTTCCACTGCCCGGCCCCTTTAAGCTAGAGAGTAAGAACCCTTCTAGGCAGAGCCTAGGTAGGGAAATACCCTCAAAATAGTCAAAAAAATACAACAAAAATAGTCCGGGGATTATTTTTGGAGTATGTTTGACCTTTCTGGGGTATCTTTTTGTATTTTTAATTTTTCGTCGGAAATCCCCCTGTAGGGGGACAGGCCCGACTTAACCGTGGACACGCCCACGGCGATGTAGGCCACGGCGATGTAGGTTTCGGTGTTTTAGGTGGGTGTGGTTCGTGGCCAACCGAAATTCGGGGGAGCGTAAGACCCGGGTTTGCCAGGACTCGGGTTCGCCATCGTTTTTTGACGACCGCGCCTCGGATTTTGACGAGGAGGGGTTTCGTGGGATGTCTGCAGCGGGAGGCCTCGTCAAAATGCAGGCTCGGCCTCGTCATTTTTTTGACGACCTCGTCGGGGATTTCCGAGTCCCCCGTACCCGGGTCTTACGTCTCCCCGAGAAATGTAGGAAAGGCTCGTTCGCGGTTCCTTACAATCGGTTCTGCGCGAGTTCGGAGCCGCAAGAGCCAGATCCCCAACATCGCCGTTCACCAACATACCCGTTGGCGCGGCCCGGGTGCAGCTCGGGGAGCAGACAGGGCTGGCACAGCAGAACAGCTGAGGCCCGCGCGGATTTCTCGGATCGGCGCTGGCCCCCTCTCCCTGGCGCGCTCCGCGAAGAGCGCGCCAGGGGCGGCGCTGGAGGCGCCGCCAGGGGGCCCCAGCGCCGATCCGAGCAATCCACGCGGACCTCCGAGTTTTTCGTGGTTACAATCGAGCATCTGATCAAGAAACCTCCCCCCGAAAAGCTGGACCAGCCTTCCTTCACCAACTTGCCAGAAAGCTGGCCCAGTTTCTTGAGCACGCTCGCCTCCTCCAGCGTTCACAACAGATGTTGGTCCAGGCTTGTTTTAAGAAACTTCCTGGAAGCTGGCCCACACTGCTGAACTTTTCATTTTCTTGACCATGTTTTCGGCGCTGAATGGATTGTCCCCCTCCTGGGACCCGTTTCCCGCAGGACCCGTCTGCTTTGTGCCACTCTTGCGCCGGGCGCCGAGCCTCGGGGTTACTGCTGCTCTGCTGTAGTCAGGAGGGACAAAAACACACACAGACACTGATCACCGTCGGTCCCTGGGAATATATGAGGAAAACATGGGAAGTGGGGGGGAAGACAAAACTCCAGAACTTCTGGAAAAGTATGGGGAGCCCTGGGATCTGTGTCTGTTTATCTGCGTGTCCCTGGGCCCCGTCATGTATTTTGCTTGCGCCGCTTCTGGGCTTCTGGGAGGCATCTCGTCGCCGCGGCCGGACTCCCCAAGTTCTGGTCGGAGCCCGCCCCGTGGATCGGCCCCGGGGCCGACTATTTTGACATCGGGTCCCGCCCGTGGTTTGATCCCCGATCCGCCGCACGGCCCCCTCGAACTTGCCGGAGAACCGAGGACCAAGGATCGAGGAGGAGGAGGAGGTTGAGGAGGAGGAGGAGGAGGAGGAGGCGGAGGAGGTAGAGGAGCTGCGACCGCTGCAACGCCCGCGGCGCCGCCTTTCAGCCCCCTGGGCCCTGCGGCGCTTGCGGCCTGCCGCTGGAAGCGCGCCGCGAGGAAGCTGACCTCGACCTCGAGGTGCAGCGGGCGGGCTGCCCACGTCTATTCATGGACGTGACGGTCCGCTACGCCGTGCCCGGCGACGCGGCTGCGCTGGAGGCGGCGGCCCAGCACGACGGCTCGGTCAACGCTGCTGCCGAGACCGACAAACGGCGGCGCTACCCAGCGGGCGGCCGCTGCCCGTGGCCGCTGCTGCCGCTCGCCTCAGAGACAGGCGGCCGGCTCGGCAAGGCGGCGCTGCAGCACCTCCGCCAGCTCGCCCGCAACCAGGCGCAGCTGGTCGACGAGGACCGGGCCGAGGCGGTGGCCAGCGCCCTGACGCAGCGCTGGGGCGCCGAACTCAGCGTCGCGCTGCACCGCGCGACGGCGCGCCAGCTGCGGAGCGCCCCTGGCGGGGACTGCGCGGCCCGGGCCGCTGAGGTGGGCGCCGCGGCGGGCTAAACGGACGCCGGGAGGCCGGCTGGCTATTTGGTGGTGCAGCTGTCCTACCGGTTCGTCTTCGTCTCGGCGGAGTACAAAGAGAGGGTGGTGTGTTTTGCCTGTGTGCATAGACTTGTCTTCATGCTTGCAGGAGGAGGAGGAGCAGGAGGAGAAGGTGTTGGAGGAGGAGTAGGAGGTGGAGTTGGAGGAGGAGGAAAAGGTGGAGGAGGAGGAGGAGGGGGAGGAGGACTTGGAGGAGAAGGAGGAGGATGAGGAGGAGGAGGAGGGACAGGAGGAGGAGGGACAGGAGGAGGACGACGACGGGGAGGACCCGGGATCGAGGATGTGGAGGAGGATCCGAACTTGAGGTCTTTTCAAGGTGTCTTGCATGTCTTTCTTTCTGGAAGGTCGCAGGGGCCAGGACCCCAGGTTCTTGGCGGTCTGGTGTTGCTTAATCCCGGCAATGGCTTCCCATTTCGGCGTTGAGGTTTTTCCCAACCATCCTGTGGTGTTGGGTCCTCGTTTTGAAGAGACGGTGCCCCGCGTCCTCCTATCCTCCCCTCCTCCTCCTCCCCCCTCCTCCCCCATCCTGGCTTTTGCTCTCCGCATGTCTCTGTTTCGGCACACCCCTCACACGCTTCGTGGCCCCATAGGGAGCTCCACCTAAGGTCCCAGTGGCGGAACTCGCATGGCGCCGCCGCCCCATTTTGGCACACCCCTCACACGTTTCGTGGCCCCATAGGGAGCTCCACCTAAGGTCCCAGTGGCGGAACTCGCATGGCGCCGCCGCCCCATTTTGGCACACCCCTCACACGTTTCGTGGCCCCATAGGGAGCTCCACCTAAGGTCCCAGTGGCGGAACTCGCATGGCGCCGCCGCCCCATTTTGGCACGCTTCGTGGCCCCGCCGTCCCGCCTCGCATTTTGGCACACCCTTCACACGCTTCGTGGCCCCATAGGGAGCTCCACCCCAGGTCCCGTGGCAGAACTCGCATGGCGCCGCCGCCCATTTTGGCACACCCCTCACACGTTTCGTGGCCCCATAGGGAGCTCCACCTAAGGTCCCAGTGGCGGAACTCGCATGGCGCCGCCGCCCCATTTGGCACACCCCTCACACGTTTCGTGGCCCCATAGGGAGCTCCACCTAAGGTCCCAGTGGCGGAACTCGCATGGCGCCGCCGCCCCATTTTGGCACACCCCTCACACGTTTCGTGGCCCCATGGGGAGCTCCACCTAGGGTCCCAGTGGCGGAACTCGCATGGCGCCGCCGCCCCATTTTGGCACACCCCTCACACGTTTCGTGGCCCCATAGGGAGCTCCACCTAAGGTCTCAGTGGCGGAACTCGCATGGCGCCGCCGCCCCATTTTTGCACACCCCTCACACGCTTCGTGGCCCCATAGGGAGCTCCACCCCAGTTCACGGTGGCGGAACTCGCATGGCGCCGCCGCCCCATTGTGGCACACCCCTCACACGTTTCGTGGCCCCATAGGGAGCTCCACCTAAGGTCCCAGTGGCGGAACTCGCATGGCGCCGCCGCCCCATTCTGGCACACCCCTCACACGTTTTGTGGCCCCATAGGGAGCTCCACCTAAGGTCCCAGTGGCGGAACTCGCATGGCGCCGCCGCTCCATTTTGGCACACCGCTCACACGCTTCGTGGCCCCATAGGGAGCTCCACCGAAGGTCCCCGTGGCGGAACTCGCATGGCGCCGCCGCCCCATTTTGGCACACCCCTCACACGTTTCGTGGTTACATGGGATTTCCACCTAAGGTCACAGTGGCGGAACTCCCATGGCGGCGCCGCCCCATTTTGACACACCCCATTTTGGCACACCCATCGGGGCGACCAGCGCGCGTCGCGGGAATTCCGCGCTGTGCTCTGCCCAGAGCCTCGCTCGCCCCCGTCGTCGCTCTGCCCAGCGGCCACAGTCTTGCCCGCGATCACCCAGCCAGCTAGCACTCTCTCTGCTCCGCGCACCGGACGACCCGCGCGCGTCGCCGGGACCCCTTCGGGGCGACCAGCGTGCGTCGCGGGGACTCAGTGCGGCGCCGCGCCCGCAGCCATGGACATCGGCGTGCACGGGCAAAAAAGGCAGAAAAAGAAGGGGAAGAAAGCGGGCGCGATCCTCGTGAGGGGCGTGCCGACATGGACGTCGACATTGACGCACGTAGACTGATTCGCACGCAGACACATTCACAATCAGACTTACTCGCGCTCAGGCTCACCCGGTTTCAGTCTCGCGCACTCAGAGCGATCGTCTTTGTTCGTATTGGGGACCCCGCCACGCATTTCGGCACGCCCCCTCACACGGTTCGTGGCCCCATAGGGAGCGCGAGCGATGATGAGATCCACAATCGCGGTATTCACAACTGCATATGATTGGGTCTTTCGCCAGGCTAATTGGAAGACCTGGATCAATCACGGCACAGGCAGTGTGGCGGCAAGTTTTTCTTAAATGTCAGCCATTGGGCGCCCATTTGGGCCCCGAGACAACAACGATGGTCTGGATGAGAAGGCTTTCTCCGAAGGGGAAGTGGTCGAGAGGTTTCTGGGGGACATATCTCGCTCGAGGATTCGAAGATCTATGGTTCTGCATGTTGATTCCGTATCAGTTTCCGTCTGCGCCTGTTACCTAACAGCTTTTGCTGATAGGTTTCTAGTGGGATCAAAAGAGAGCATCTTGACGCCCCAGGGGGGTCTGGGCGGGATCCGGATAAGGAGCCGGCCAAAACTGCAGCCCCAGGAACCCTTAGGAATCCTTAGGAATTCTTGGGAATCCTTAGGAATCCATTCCCACAACACCGCTCCCAGGCTACATTTTGAATGACCGGAGCCAACTGTAGGCCACTTCCTGTTCTTCGTGTTCCCAGAACACCACTCGCAGGCCACATTTTGATTGCCCGGAGCCAACTGTAGGCCACATCGTGTTCTTCGTGTTCCCGGAACACCATTCCCAGGCCACATCTTGAATGCCCGGGGCCAGCTGTAGGCCACTTCGTGTTCTTCGTGTTCCCAGAACACAATTCCCAGGCCACATTTTGAATGCCCGGAGCCAACTGTATGCCACTTCGTGTTCTTCGCGCTCCCAAACACAATTCCCAGGCCACATTTTGAATACCCGGAGCCAACTGTAGGCCACATCGTGTTCTTCGTGTTTCCAGAACGCCATTCCTGAACCATATTTTGATTGCCCCGAGCCAACTGTGGGCCACTTCGTGATCTTCGTGTTCCCAGAACACAAGTCCTGTGCCATATTTTGAATGCCCGAGCTCAGGCAGGCTGAGGCCGAGGCAGATTGAGGCCGAGGCAGGCTGAGGCTGAGGCTCAGGCACGCCGTGGCAGGCTGAGGCTGAGGCTGAGGCAAGCTGAGGCTGAGGCAGGCTGAGGCTGAGGCTGACGCAGGCTGAGGCCGAGGCATGCTGAAGTTGAGGCTGAGGCAGGCTGAGGCTGAGGCAGGCTGAGACTGAGGCTGAGGCAGGCTGAGGCTGAGGCTGAGGCTGAGGCAGGCTGAGGCTGAGAGGCTGACGCTGAGGCTGAGGCAGGCTGAGGCTGAGGCTGAGGCAGGCTGAGGCTGAGGCTGAGGCTGAGGCTGAGGCTGAGGCTGAGGCTGAGGCTGGCTGGCTGAGGCTGAGGCTGAGGCTGAGGCTGCAGGCTGAGGCTGAGGCAGGCTGAGGCTGAGGAGGCTGAAGGCCTGAGGCTGAGGCTGCAGGCTGAGGCTGAGGCTGAGGCAGGCTGAGGCTGAGGCTGAGGCAGGCGGCTGAGGCAGGCTGAGGCTGAGGCTGAGGCTGATGCAGGCTGAGGCTGAGGCAGGCTGAGGCTGAGGCTGAGGCTGAGGCAGGCTGAGGCTGCAGGCTGAGGCTGAGGCTGAGGCTGAGGCTGAGGCTGAGGCTGAGGCTGCAGGCTGAGGCTGAGGCTGAGGCTGAGACTGAGGCTGAGGGCTGAGGCTGAGAGAGGCTGAGGCTGAGAGGCTGAGGCTGACGCTGAGGCTGAGGCAGGCTGAGGCTGAGGCTGAGGCCGAGGCAGGCTGAGGCTGAGGCTGAGGCAAGCCGAGGCAGGCTGAGGCTGAGGCTGAAGCTGAAGCTGAGGCAGGCTGAGGCTGAGGCTGAGGCAGTGGCTGAGGCTGAGGCAAGCTGCGGCTGAGGCAGTGGCTGAGGCTGAGGCTGATGCAGGCTGAGGCTGAGGCAGGCTGAGGCTGAGGTTGAGGCTGATGCAGGCTGAGGATGAGAGGCTGACGCTGAGGCTGAGGCAGGCTGAGGCTGAGGCTGAGGCCGAGGCAGGTTGAGGCTGAGGCTGATGCAAGCCGAGGCAGGCTGAGGCTGAGGCTGAAGCTGAGGCAGGCTGAGGCTGAGGCAGGCTGAGGCTGAGGCTGAGGCCGAGGCAGGCTGAGGCTGAGGCCGAGGCAAGCCGAGGCAGGCTGAGGCTGAAGCTGAGGCTGATGCTGAGGCAGGCTGAGTCTGAGTGAGGCTGAGGCTGAGGCTGAGGCAGGCTGAGGCTGAGGCAGGCTGAGGCTGAGGCCGAGGCAGGCGAATCCTTTGGAATCCTTAGGATTCCCTAGGAATCCTTAGGAATCCGTAGGAATCCATAGGAATCAGGATCCCTAACGATTCTCAAGGTTTCCTAAGGATTCCTATGGATTCCTAAGGATGCCTAAGGATGCCTTAGAAATCCCTAGGACTCCTTAGGATTCCATTGGATCCTAAGGCCGTTGCCACTGCGACTGTCATTGCGAATGCGACTGCGACTGCGAGAACAACAGACTTCTACAAGTGGACTCTCACCTGAATATGATGGGGAATGCTTCCAGATATGCTTATACACATCGCTGTTACGTTGCTTTGCCGGGAAAATTGTTTGTTCGGACCAGCACGACGCCGCGACGCTCGTCATGTTTGCTTAGCCGTTGGTTACGATACCAGTGCCGTTGAACAGGTGTAACGACATGTAGTTCACGTTGCATAGCCACGCATATCGATTGTTGATTACATCGAACCATGTATGTACATATGTTAGGTATGTATGGTGTGCGGACATGGTCATTATCATGTGCGTGTTGGTACCGCAGCTGCGCACGTGTAAAGTATGGGCATGGTGTGTGTTGTCACGCTTTGTGCCTCGATGGCTGTGTGCATGTTATGCGCGTAAGGTGTGTGAGTAGGTTTCGTGCGCAAATTGTGT